AGAGGGCCCCGGGTCATAACCGTTTATACTGCGGTGCCATTTGGCGGCAAAACCGCCGGTTAGAGGACACGTACCACGTCTTTACTGGCAGGAGACTATTTGAGAATAGATCCTAGTGATATTTTCGACTAGGCATTTGGCTCTATGTGAGCTGAAATAAATTTCATTTGTCCACCCCGACAAACTGTTGCGGAGGGTGGATGAATTTTGCTTTAGTGTTTGATAGTTGGATTTCAGATTTAAATATCTTTGAATTTTTGATTTTTGGATTTTGAGTGGAGTTTGGATGGCATTTAAAAATATTTGTGAACCCCTCCGGTTGAGATTAGCGTTCAACACGGCCATCATCGGGATGTTTGGGGTCATTTCCATTTGTTGATTGAACCTTGTCAACTCAGACAAGCTATTGACTGAGGATCGGGTTTCATAGGCTTCATGCCTTTTGTTTAGTGAATTATTTTGATTGTAGGCCTTGAATGCCTAACATGAATGTATTAAAACAAATACACCGGTCCTCACAACCGTGTACTTGTTTAAAGGTTCGAACCCTGTCGACTTCTATTGATCCGTATTGAAGGATCGGGTTCGAACTTGAATTCACTTATTGACCCGCGCAGCATCCCTAGACGTCACGTGTGTACCAATAACGCGCTCGCCGGAGCCCATGCGGGTGATTTTTATATTGATTTAAACGTACCCCATTGTGTACCTATGTGTATACAAACTATAGTGCAAGTGTATGGGTACTTTGAAGTATTTGTAATTGTGTAGATAACTATCGTTTGGATGCACACTATTTTTCATTTGAGAGCTTATACACGCCTTCTGTCCGCTAGCATGAGTATTGCGGATTCGGTGACGTGGCGTTTTGATGTTGACTCCCCTTTTTCATTCACCGGGGGAGGACTTTCTGGATTTTGAAATTTGTTGCTTTGTAGATAACTCTTTTTAAGATGATCAGTGTAATGGATTTGTTATTCCCGGTGTTTGTGGGCACCAGAACTATTTTCTTCTTAAGTATAGAACTAAGAAGAGACTTTGGAACACCAGGAGGTTTGGTTCTAATTTGTTCAAATATTTCCTCCCTTCAGCCAGGGGGTGTACTTTTTGTACATCGAGTCGCTCTTGTACCCGAAATACTTGAAGATCTTGATCACCCCTGTCGTAGGTGATATCCGTACTTGTGTCCACAGTGATTCATTGTACTTTCAATACACTGTTGTTATCCACAAGTATCCATTTGCAGGGGACCGTCGTATCCCTTACGACCTCCTGAAGGTATTTGTAGGAGAGTCGTTGTCAACTTCATCATATCCACCCTTTCATCAATCTCAGGTGGGCGTTGATTGTACTTGTGCCCACAGTGGTTCGTTGTGCCTACGAGATACCCACTGTTGTTATCCACAAGTAGGTTGTATTCATTTGCAGGGATTCGTTGTATTTGCTACGACCCCCTAGAAGTATTCGTAAAAGAGTCATTTACATCAGTATCATATCCAACTTTCACCTATCTCAGGTGGTCTGATGTCTGTATTTGTTTATAGAGGATGAGTCTTTGACTATCTAGTAGTAGTGTTGCCTTCTCAATCAACAGGCATTTGTAGGGAATGTTGTAGGAATTCATACATCTTTCATGTGCGTCGGGATTTCATCTCACACTTGTAGCTTATTGTTAACTTAGAGAATTGTGCATTTAGACTCTGATTTGTTCATTCATACAAAGCCCTGGTCCTATATATTTCATCATACCCGAGTTTAAGGTCCAGCCCATGCTTGAGTCTTGTATGTCGTTATGGGTTCAACTCTTGGCATCCCATTCAAACTCAAGTCCCTATTTCAGATCCAGCTTCAGTTCAGTTTGAGCTCCTTACTCTCCACATCTCATTCCAGTTTTGAGTTCAGAGTACAAATTCAAGTTATCTTGTTCAATTTATTTCATTTTTGAATTGAGTTCAAGCTTGAGTTCGATGTTTGGGTCCCCTGATGTTGCACAGTTCGAGTTCCAAGTACCAGTTCAAGTGCTTGTTCAGGTCTCTTATATAGTTTAAGCTCCACTGTGGTTCTTGTAGAGTTTAAGTTCACTTTCATATTGATTTGAATTTCAGTTTGATTTTATTTCATTTGATTTTGACCCTTAGAAATCATTTAGAATTTTGTTCAGATTTAGGTCCACAAGTTCTCTGTTCTTCGTACAAGTCCTCTACTCATTTAGTTCAATTTCTGTGTATTATTATTCGAGTACAGGTCTTCTACATTGTTGCCCAAGAAGGTCTTCAAATTGTTCAAGTCTTTGTGTATTTCAGTGAAAATTTCGGCAGCATCCCGACATATCCACCGTTTGGGGGAAAGTAGGGGAGCTGGGCCTTCCCACCACGCTACTAGAGCGTGTATGGGGCCTTCAGCAGTACCCGTACAGCAGAACACCAGTAGCTCTCCCCACCATGCTACAAGAGCGTGTATAAGGCTCACCCACCTCGCCGTATGCTTCGCACCGGGCTCCCTCCTACCGTGCTACAAGAGCGTGTATAGGTGGTTCCCTGATCCGCTGCAAACGCCGAGAATGAGATTTGGAACATCATACCTTTGCGTAGCAGTGTCGGTGTCGAGGTCGAGGACCGTCCCCACCACATAATCAATCAAATAATTATAATTAATTAATAATTATAAATTAATTATAATTAGATAATTAATTAATATAATAATTAAATAATTATTAAATATAATTAATAACAATTATAAAATAAAATAAATAATAATAATTAAAAAAAGAAATCCCTGGATCGGTGGATTGAAGGGATTTGGCCGAGAAGCTTGTGAAGGGGAGATAATCACCTTCACAGACAGTGAGCTTCAGTCGTCTCCTCCGATCAAAATGTCGTAACTCCAATCCAACGGGATGGGAATGCCGTCGAAGGAGCTAGGCCGAGCAGCCACAAGGAGCCGGAGAAGCACCAAATGGGGAGGAAATTAACCCCGCAGCCCGCGAGCTCCTGTTGTTGGTTCCGAACAAAATGTGGTAACTTTCGGTTCGGCAGGAGGAGACGAAGAGCGAGAGAGAGAGGGATCGTGGGAGAATGAGCAGAGGAGGCCGAATGCCTCCTTTCGTCGTCCCTTTATAGACGAGACCGAGTGGTGCGATGAAACGACGTGAGGTCGTGCAACAACGTGCGGGGGACGGCTGCGGCAGAGTAGGTAAGGGATTTGATTTTTTTTATTTTCTTTTGCTTTTGTTTTAATCAGCACAGGTCAACAATCACACAATAGGCTGGATGCATCACTCCACTTTAACCATCCAACTTAAATTCTACTAATAATATCCTCATCCATTTTATCATCACTTCGAACAATAGACCCGAGATATCTAAAACGTTTACTCTTATTAATAACTTAATCGTCCAAACTCGCAATCCCCCCACTAGAACTATTACTACTAAAATTACACTTCATGCACTCAAATTTAGATCTACTCAAACAAAAACCTTTAGACTATAAGGTTCACCTCCATAATTCAAGTTTTCCTTCAACTCCCTCTCTAGTCTTATCAAAAAAAAGAATATCATTAACAAAAAGCATAAACAACAACTAAAATAAAAAAAATACTTGGTCAAACAACCTTGTGTTTGAACACAAGTAACAACTCCTGCATACATATCCTTAATGACTTGAATATAAGCATTATTAATAATTTTCTTTTCTAGAACTTTCCAGAGCACTTCTCTTGAAACTTTATTATATACTTTCTCCAAATCAATAAATATCATATGTAGATCCTCCTTATTCTCTCTATACTTATCCATGAAATCTCTTAATAAATGTATAACCTCCATAGTAGAACTACTCGGCATTAATACAAATTGATTACGAGAAACATAAGTATCACATTAGAATCTATGCTCAATAACTCTCCCATACTTTTAATGTATGACACATTAACTTTATTCCTATATAATTCGCACACTGTTGTGCATCACATCTATTCATAAAAATATGAATCAACACACTCCATCTCCATTTATCTCGCATCTTTTATTTTTAAAATAATATTGAAAAGTTTCTTCAACCAATAAATTCATTCATCTCCAAAGTATTTCCACACATCTATTGGAATATCATCAGGTCCAACAACTTTTCCACACTTCATTTTTTTTAAAGTTTCTCTAACTTCGATTTTACTAATATGACGATAAAAATTAAACTTCTATTTTCATTAGGGTGCTAAAATCACTAAAGTCAATCGTATTCTCATAATTTTCATTGAAAATCTTATCAAAATATCTCATCCACCTTTGTTGAATAACTTTTTGTAATAAAAACACTTTTTGATCTTCATCCTTAATGCACTTTACTTGAACTAAATCCTTTCTTCTCCAATCTCTTTGCTTGACTAACTTAAACATATATCTTTCATCATCCTTAACATCTAATATATTATATAAATCATTAAAAGATAAATTCTTTGCATCGCATATTACTTTCTTAGACCCCCTATAGACCTCTTTATATCTTTCCCAATTTTTTGAACTTTTGCATCTAAACTAATTAATTTCCAAAGCAATAGAAAAATATAGAAGTATAGAACCATTCATTACTACGTGATATGCACAAACAATTCAATATGAAGAAGACAAGTAACCAAAACTAATTGTTTGGAAGATGTTCAATAAGAATTAGACATAATAGTTGTTATTCAGTATTCCCGAATATTTTGGATAAGATTCTTTTGAATGCTATTGCTGCATCAACAAACATCAAAGTTTGTAGAGAAATCTAGAAGAATGATAATAAACATGTTAATATATATAAAAGAATTAGAAAAAGCAACTAACATCTATAAATCATAAGCACTACGGCATACAAAGTAAGGGAAAGAGGATATATAAGATGCTATATGATTGAGATATGGATACCAAACAAACAAAAATGATTTTAAAAGTTTAAATCATGTGCTTGAAATATTACTTTTTTATGATGTAAGAAAATTAGCATATTAAACATGGAAGAAAAAGACAAAAAAATATGTTCGTTCATTAGAACATGTGTTTTGCTGAATTCTTAAAGCAACTTACAGGATTATGCATCTCTTCGCTCAGCCCAAAGCTCACAAGAATAGAATTCACTATTGTGGAGAAGTAATGTGCTATGTATGACCCAATTCCAAGCTGTCAAAAGAAAAGCAAATAGTGTTTAAGAGAATGAAGAAATATAGCCCTAACTTAGTTGAAAACACAATTAAAATAAGAAATCCAGTGCATAACCCTTACCACAGATCCATACAATGTAAGATAGAGGACATTCTTCCTGCCCATTGGTAGTAGCTTCATTCCCTTCAAATAAATACAACATTAGTGACTGATAACAAGGTTGATATTCTGCAAAAGTATATTATCATAAAATAATATGTAAACCTAGAAGACTGCATAATTCTGCAGAACATAAGAAAAACCAATGAATGACATGGAAAAAATTATCTCTATGAAATGTCATCATATGGTTGGCAAATCTCAAACTTTCAAATTCAAACTGGGCTGACATCAAATCTTTAAACAACCCAAAAGTGGTTTTCAAAAGCATAGCAAAAGAAAAAGGGTAGAAAAACCTATTAGTTCTTATAATAATCTTTTTTTAATAGGGTCCCTCAGATAAATCTATTTCCCCAGTTAAACCTTGAATGATACTTCATAATCTATTAAAAGAAAGATAATAGATAGCCACCGTGATGCGGACATCGGCACAAAGATTTGGCGCATCTATCACAGGAGGCGTCGTAAATCGATGGCTATAATTTAAATTGTCATTTATGAGTTATTTTCTGAATTTTAGCTCTTATTTTATGTTATTTCCTGTTTTACCCCTAGGTTAGTTTATGTGAGTGTTGTAGCCCAAGGGGCAATTTTGTAATTTTGAGTTTTCTTATGTTGTGACCTATATATAGGGCCTTAAGCTATTGTAATGGGAATGAAGAATTGATATTAAAAAAAATTTGTGTCCACACTTGTGTTCTTGTGAGAGAGCGTTAGTGAGATTCCTATGGGAAGGAATCGGAGTTTTCACCAGCCATAGGATGGGTCCGAGCTCGTGACATAAAGTCCTTTGGAGAAGGTCAAAGCATCACCCGTCAGTCTTCGTAAGAGTCCGAGGCTCGCGGTTTTTAATTTCTCTCTATCGTTTGTTTCGATCTTTGTTTTTGTTTTATCTCTTCTTTAATTGTTTTTTTTTTTTCCATCGTCTTCCACCTCCCCATCTTCGTTTGGCCACCGGATTCACCTCCACCCAAAATCCCCCCATAACAGAACCCATCCGCCGGCTCCACCCCATTAGCCGCCGGCCGAACCTTCCTCTCCACCCCCTTTTAGATTTCCTAATTTGGTTGGGTTAATTTAGGGATTGATTTGAATTTGAAATTATTCAAATTCAAATTTCAAATTCTTTCCTAATTTAGTTCATCTATTTTTGGAAAGTGCGTAATTGAAATCAATGTGAAACTAATTTCAAAATCTTGTACGTTGCTTCTAACAGATTTTTCCTAATCATTTTAATTCTGAAATCAATTCCAGAATTAATCAAATACTTAAGTTATCGTTTGGAATTTCCTTCAGCCTCCTGAATTGGAAATAAGTCCAAAATATGGCCCCAATTCAGCCGCCTCCTCCTTAATTGTTTGCTTGGTATTATTTCTCCAAAGTCCTCCCTGCTGCTGGCCGAACTCCCCCATGCTCTTTTCCTGAGTTGTCTCTCCTCAACTCTCTCCCTCTCCAACTCAACACCTTGCTGGAATCAAGGCTTGAATGCTTCCCCAATTTCTCTACATCTTATGCTACTAAAATCTGGAGATTCACCTTTGGGATTTTAATTTCTGTTATTTCCTAAATCTCCCATCCAAGTTTAGGAAATAACTCAAATTCCCTCAAATCCCTCCTATCCGAAATTTTCCTTTTCCATATCCATCCAATTGATTTCCTAAATCTAGGGAAATTATTTTGGGAATTAAATCCCCTCTCCTCAGCATCCCGCCGCCCCTCCCCAGTCAGCTCTCTCTCTTAAATTCCCTTTCCACCATTGGTTCTCTAGTGGATTGATTTCCAATGATAAAAATACTTCGATGAATTCATGATTAAAATTCAATTCAACAATAGAATGGAAGGCAATTATGTGTATTTCAAAAGGCTTGATCCAAAGAGACATATATCTACTGTTGGATGTAAATAATATGTTGGTTGAATCATCTTAATGGATAATTAAGTCTCAAGTTGGAGATCTATATGTGTATGACCACTTGATTCAACTTTTTTTTTTTTTTTTTTTTCTCTAGGGTGTTTCAAGATACTTAATCTAACCCATAGAAGAATTGCATATTACTGTCCAAATTTGAAATAACAACAAAGCTTTGATGTTTCAAGGAGAAAAAGCACCTGGAATAAAATTAACAAGATGACAAGCAGAACACCTAACGCCATTGAACTGCTATAGTAAAATGGCACCCACTTGCTCACAATTGGTGCCATTACCAACATAACAAAACCAATACCAAGGCAAAACAGACGCCACTGTTGAAACTCTGCAAAAGCAAAAAAGCAAGTGTCATACCCAAGTGACCAACACCGTAGTTGATGAACTTTGGAACTTAATCAAAAGTAACAACTTAAATACTGTAAAAATCACCAAAATAGATTGATGAAAAAAATCTAACCTTCCTCAACATAGACCGTGATGGAGCCAGAAATCTTTTCAATTGATTTAACATCTATAAATCTGGTATCATAAGGCGACATCACAGACTTCCATTCACCATTCTGAAGACTTCTCCAATCATCATGACCGCATTCGCAAGTTCCAAGAGAAGCATTTCTGTAAAGTTCCACAAACAAAAAATGCTTAGAAACAATCGGAAAGAGAAAGCATAACTAAACTATATCTTTTATGCTTAAAAAAATCAGCCAATCTAATAATACTATAAAGATACAAGTGAAGAATAACTCGCTTCATAAAAGTATTATTCTTACCGATGAAAGCAAATCCCAATATTTCCATGAAGCCTTTGCGGCATGTCTTCAGAAGCCTTAGCTGTCACATACAATGAACTCGCATAGCTCTTCAAGTTCAACCTTGTTGTTCCCGAGACACGTACTCTATCACAAAAACCTCCAGCATGTAGTGACGGGAAAAGTTGTGTCGTAGGATTCTGGATGCTGACACCTGAGATCACAAGAACCAAATCCATCACGCTATAACCTAATCCAAAATACCAACACAACCTATCAGCTTTAACTGCAATGCAATTTGATCATCGATTTTTTTCAGTTTTTTCATTGACTCTGGCAAAAATAAGCCGTGTAAAAAGCAGGGTACACATCTAAAGAAAATGCAATTCAATCCGGTCAATAAAAAAGCTCGAGCACTTGATCCTTTAGAATCGGATATGATACTACGATCTTAATGTTGGCCCGGAAACAGAAAACCCACACTATCAACAGCGATAACTAAAAAGAAACCCGGATAGTACAAATATAGCGCTATTCTAAAACCTAACTGAAGTCATGGAAACGAAAACCCTCGAAACTGCAAAAAGTAAGAACGCAAGCTAATGCAAGAACCCAAGATTTTAGCCTAATTCAAACATGCCCAGTCAGAAGAGATTTCCAATTAGAGGAAAAATATGTTTGAGGTGATGAAAGAAAAATACCTGGGAAAGATGTTGGGTGGGAGGAACAGAGGAGGAATAGGGGGGAGAGGGAGAGGAGGAAATGGATTAGACGATCGAAGATTGAAGAAGGAGAAGAAGAGATAGAAGACCGAGCCATCGCTTTGCCAGAAGAGGGGGTTGCCGCTTTCTCCGGCCTCGCGATTTGTGTTCTAGCCGCTGGCGAGGCGGCGCGCTGCGCTGAGAGCGGGCGAGGCGGTAGTTTGAGTTTCATGTGTTTCTTCTTTGCTTCTCGGAGAAGAATGGAGACCAGCACCGATTTCACCTTGTCCACGTAGGTTAGACGGACCCGCTCTCTTGAGAGTATTTACTAAATTTAGTTGTTTGATTATGAATTTCAAAATTAATTTAGGAGCTGTTTAGTTGCTTGAATTAGGAATATAAAGTAAAATAAATACACGTATTTACTAAATTTAGTTGTTTGATTAATTTTAAGCGGAACAAAAGAAAACACTCCGAAGCATAAGGCATGTATTAGGAGGCGTGTTTTGTGCGAATTAGAAACCCGTTCATATTAAGCGGGTTTTAAATTCGCTCGACGAAGAAAACCAAATCCTTCGGGGCTGTTTGGTATCGGATTTATCCTGGGATTTAAGTCGGATTTACGCTAAATCCAGCCAAACTGTTTTTGTGCGGGCATTAAATCCCGGGATTCCGTAAATCCCGGATTTACGGATTTACGGCTTAAATCCCGGATTTACTAAATCCCTCGGTTCGGTGGATTTTACGGGATTTAACATTAGAAGCGCGCGAAAGGGAGAAGGTTACCTTCACAGCCAGCGAGCTCCT